GGGGGGGGCAGAATAAAACATCAAAGCACTGGTATGATTTAGTAGTTTCTTGTGCAATAGCTTTGTTTTATTGAAGTTCATTTATTATTTACTAAGAAATCATTTCAATACTACATGAGACTGTACTTAAAGAATCAACGTTATTGTTTCATTTTATTATTATTGTGGAACACAATGCTTTTGATACTGGTGTCAAAAATGCTCTGCACTCCAGGTACCAAATATACTAGGTAAAGGACACTGCCAATATGTAGTCATAAAGTCATAAAAATGGAGGACTAGAGGAATTTAAACTAATCAACTTTCCCGATTTCTGATCAAAGCTATTCCACTTGTTCCTTGTGTAAACAGGGAATAATCCACTAAGATCGACTTTGGATTTAGAATTAACTGATACATTGTTGAGTTCTAGGTTTGTGTTAAGTGCAACCCAGAAAATGCTTTTCTTGAAACAATAAATTAAGGTCAATAATTCCCATTTCTTTTATCAATTATGTTTTCATTTGGTTCAACCAAGAAGTCTTTTAGATAAATACTTAGATTTATTCTCCATTTTAGAATAAGTCAAATGGAGAATAAACACATTTATTCTCCATATGTAATATGCTCACTTGCATAAATGTACATATTTATTCTCAATTTGGCTTATTCTAAAAATCTCCACAAAAATATTTGATGGGAGATCATATGTTGAGCAGAAGCATGATATTAATGATTGGGAGGTATAGTTGATTTCATAAAGGGCAAAGATGCTGGTGTTTCAAGGCACCTGGTAATAACATCTCTATCCTGATGATGCAGTCTATTGCACAAGCCTTCCCTGGGCCCTCGGAGCAGTGAACACAGAGATGTGGGGACAGTGGGTTTCAGGGTTCCACCATGTGAGGCGCAGGCACCTGCACTTTTGGCCTCAGCAGACTTCCTGTTCACACACCCACTAATCTGTTACCACGCCCCTTCTTTTTGTTATTGTACACAGAATGAGATCAATGTTTACATAGTATGATTCTCACTTAACAGTGGAATTTTCTTCCGTGATGATGACTGGTTGGTTCCTGAACTTTGCATGTCCCTTGGAGAGTTTTCTCTGAAAGACAATGGTTTGAAACAGGAACTGCAGCTCTGGGGGCTGGCTGCCCTGTTTGTGCGACAGTGGCTATCACACTCAAGGCACTGTAAGCGAAGCACATGCTCTTGGAGGGTGAGGCTCATGCAGGCTTAAAGAATGCAGAAGTGGTTGGCACAATGTCTGGCTAGCGAAATGCAGGGGGAAAGAAGGCTCTACTGACGACCCTAAGCTAACAAGGAGAACTGGAGCTACAGAACCTAGGCAGAGCTTAAGCGTGGGGCAGAGCACATAGCTGGTGAGGCATCGGGCGAGTGGTGAAACCAATGTCAGGGGTTAGGTCCAGGTCCAGATGGGAGACTCCTGGGGGTGGCTGAAAGGTGAACTTCTGCAGGAGACTGGTAAAGAAGAGGAACAGTTCCATCCTGGCTAGTGACTCACCAGCACACATCCGCCGACCTGCAGAGATGGGCATGGCGGGTTTTAGAACGTATCAGCCCAAGACAGGAACAATCTAGACAACAATGAGAATTGTAGGCTTCTGCTACTTTGGTGTATGTGCGCCAGTCATTTTATCTCTGTTGAGACTCCTGGACTCAGTCTGCCAGTTTGAGAAGACCCCCTACATGCATGCGTGTCACATGGAAAGCTGGACACAGAACTCCACTCCTGTATCCCGCACTATTCTTATAATTGATTGTCCAGGGCACCGTTGTGAGCCTTAAGATTTCATTGGCTGATTTTTCACAAATAGATCACTAGGTCTTTCTTCCTCATCGATCTTAGTTTGAAAGTGCTGCTGAAACCTATTCAGCATCGTAGTGGGACACAGAGCTACTGAACAAATGTGTGGGGCCATAAGTTTTGTGAGCTAGAATAGAGCTGGGTCTCCTTTATGGAATGTGAGACTTTTATTACTGAACCACTAGTGTCTCAATAGCCACTCCTCTCATTTTAAAATTCGATACCAATAGAAATTTACCCATGTATACCCTCTCCCCCAAATCCTAAGGAAACCACTGGGATTTACAAATTTTAAAAAAGAGTTTTTCTGTTTGGGGTGAAGTTGGCTGCCCACAATCTCCTTACTTAACTTTCTCTTCAAACTCCCAAGGCCTTACTTTAGCCTTAGCTCCAAGAGCTCTCCAAAGATGCCTTCAGAAAGTGGGATTCCAGGGATTCCTGCCATATCCCCCAATCAAAGCTCATTGTCACCCAATGAGGTGACCCGAGAGGACAGAGTAGAGCAGCCCCACTGGGTTTTCAAGGCCAGAAATCTTTTCCGAAGCAGGTGGGTTTGAACTGTTGGCTTTTTAGTTAGCAGTCCAGTGTGATACCAGCACTTCTGTCGCCATGCTAAAGACAGGGAAGAACCCCTTTCACACTTTTATATTTTCCAAGTTCAGTGCCACATGCAAAAGGGCAAAGCCACAGTGATGAGGCAAGGCCACACCTCTCCCCATTTGTCAAACCTCCCCTGTCTTGGGTAAACTACCTTACCAATTGAGAAGGGGATGAAAGCGTCTTTCTTGACAAATTTCCCATTCGAATTGAGGAAATGCTCAGGGTGGAAGGCCTCGGGTTTCTCCCACTGTGTCTGATCCCGAAGTACTGAAGTCAGTAAGGTGATGACCTCAGTGCCCTAGGAAGAAAACTGCCGTTAGTGACAGAGAGGAGTCAGTGCCTTCCTGGCCTGTGGTTCTTTAAAGACATGTTGTGGTCTCAGTTGGCAGCTTTTCAGTCGTGTGCTCTGTCAGGAAATAGAGAAAGTGAAGGTGGAGAAGAGGCCCAGCTTGGAATTCAGCGTTCACTGACTTGAACAACGTTTTATTCGGTACCAAATGAAAAAAAAGCATGCCTGGGTGGCACAAAGGGTTAACACACTCAGCTATGAAGCCCAAGGCTGAAGATTTGAGTGCATCCAACGGTGCCTCAAAATGAATTAATAAATATAGAAACAAACAAATCAATAAAAGACCTGACAATCTACTTCTAAAAAATAAACCAACAAGACACTGTTTTACTCTGACACACCTGGGCTTACCATGATTTGGAGTTAACCTGATGGCAACTGGTTTCACCAGTACTTAAGGTTCAAAGATTATTTCAGGGCGATAGTTTCAAAGATTCATCCACAAGCGAAAAACACCCTCTGAAGTCTTCTCAAAACCAAATGATAGTTCAGACGAATCAGTGAAGAGTGTGTTCCTGGAGTATTGCGGTCTTTGAAGATCTGTGTGGGGTCAAATTGGCAGCAGCAGCTCCAAAGCTTTGATGGGAAACTTAACGGAACGCTGAGTTTTTTGTAATGGCAGAGGAACCCTTCAGAAAAGCAGGGTGAGCATTTCCTCTCAACTCCCAGAAGGCAAACCACGTCACTGAATTCTGGGCGCAGACTCTGTTGGATTTGTGTATGTTCTGTTGTGTATTCTCAACAACAATGCATTGATTACTTAAAGAACCAAACAAAAACATGAGCATCGGCCTCAGAGCTTGGCAGATATCCTTACGTAGGCCTGTGGTTTCTGTTCGACAATAGCGTGCTGTTTGATTTTGGGTGAAATTCTCTAGATTTGTATGGTGGGAGTTAAATAGTGATCATTTGGTAACTCTGAGCACAGGATCAAGGACACCTATGAAAGACCCTGTGGAGTTCCTGGCAGGTTTTGGTGCTCAGTGAATGTTGCTCTTCTGCATTTATGAACTGTCATAGTGGACAAGTTCAGATAACTAAACGCATTGTCCTTGAGTTGATCCGACTCTTAGAGACCCAGACTGGCCTGTCCTCGGGTGTCTAACGTTATCATCCTCGCAGAAAAGACGCTTTTCTTTCTCCCTCGGAGTGACTAGTGGGTTCCAGTCGCTGACTTTTGGTTAGCTGTTGAACACAGTCACAACGCCACCAGGACACCTTTAGGTGACACCAACCTGCACAAATTCTCAAAATCAAGTTACTCTGCTTCCAACGCTTGTCACATGCCCTGAAATGAATTAAATTCATCAAAGGAAAGTCATTTTAATTGGAAGCATGCCTGAAAGGAGCCCTGATAGTGTAGTGGGCTATACGATGGGTGCTACCTGCAAGGCCATCAGTTCGAAGTTACCGGCTGCTCCAAGGGAGACCGATAAGGTTTTCAGTTCCCGTCAAAAGTTGCAGTCTCAGAAGCCCACCTGGCAGTTTTCCTCTGACCTGTAGAATCACCACCAGTCAGCATTGACTGGATGGCAGTGAGTGTATAAGGAAAGGTGTTCTGAACAGTAAAACAAAAACAAAAATCAAGCAAAATAATTTTACTCTTCATCTTGGTTAGTCAATGCCAGCTGCCTCTTTTAAAAGGCTTTTTAAGACTGATTAACTGTTGTATGCATCTGTAAAAGCCAGTGATTGTTTGAAAGCGTACTGCTTTTACTTTCTTTGCGTGGCAATTATGTGTACTAGATAGACATTGTACACTGACGTTCTCATCAGCATCCAGCTGTGTTGGGTTATTTTTGTTTCACAAGAAAGAAGACTTTCTGGTTCAACGAGACTGAGTGACCTTTGTCCAGCGAGGTAGTTGCATCTCTTTGAATGCAAACTCTAGCACAATGCTTTGCTGAGCTCACTGCCGGAATGAAAACCCTACGCAATCACAATGTCCTTGTACTTCTTTGGTGAGGTTGCTATTGACTTTTGTTTTTGATATTAATTTGTTTGCTTGCTTTTCGTCTCAGCTGCTAATCTAATGAACATAATCCAAGAGTGCTTAACATGTGCTCCGAGCGTGTGCTTCAAAATGAATTCAGTCATCCTGTTTGTTCACAGGGAATCCTCAGTGGAACCCTGGGACGATGCCGAGGGGAACCCAGAACAAGTTGCTCTAGGTGCTGGGGAAGGAATCAGTGTTACAACAGAATGAAAGGTGGCCCGGTCCTGCACCAACCTCGCCATTGTTGTTATGTTTGAGCCCATTGTTGCGGCCAGTGTTAATCCTTCTTGTTGAGGGTCTTCGTCCATATTTCTCCCCCTCTACTTTATCAAGCATGATGTCTGTTTCCAGGGACTCATCTCCTCTGACAAGGGGTCCACCATTCTTGCCTCTAAGGGACATTCTGGCCATTCTTCTCCCAAGGCAGACTCGTTTGTTCTGTTAGAAGTCCATGGTACTTTCCATATTACTTGTCAGTACCATAATTCAAATGCATTGATTCTTCTTTGGTCTTCGTTAGTCAATGTTCAACTTTCACACACCTATAAGGCCATTGAAAATATCATGACTTAAATCAGGTGCATCCTCGTTCTGAAAGTGCTATCCTTGCTTTGCAACACTCTACAGAGGTCCGTGGGGCAGGTTTACCCACTGACCTAGTTGTGAGGAGTCGGTGGTTTGTCAGATTGAGTTGGAATCCATGTTCCTGGATCTTCAGCCACAAAGACTTCAAGTCCTCACTTTCAGCAAGCAAGATTATGTCCTCTGTCTATTGCAAATTGGTAATACACTATGGGTATAGTTGACCTTCTGCCAATTCCTACCTTCAGTTTGGTTTAGGAAATATAAATGCACACTTCCTCATTTTACCAGGGGAAGTCAGAGGGCTGCATCTAAATGCCTTTAATATCCAGAACTCAGGAGGGAGCTCGGTGTGAGGACGAAAGTGAGGCAGGCAGAGCAGCCCACAGAGGCGGTGGTGAAAGTACAGGAATCCAAAGCATGGAACACCCTGGCTGGAATCCTGACCCCCTTACCTGCTGCATTTTCAATCCTGGCAAATGGCTTGAACTCTTTGAAGCTATTTCCTCAATTATATTATAAAAGAAGAAGAAAATCTGATAAAGTTCCACAGCACAATTGCCATCACACAACTAACCTCGCTGTTTATTGGAAAGCTGGGAAGGGGAGAGGGAAGAAAGTGGGAAGGAAAGAGGGGTGGGCCAGGGTTGCCATGGGCTGTTCATTTTAGTGCTTCTTTGATTTTGAGAGTTGACATTCACTCCCTCTCCCTAACCCCTCCCACCGCAGTCTTATAGCCTTACCTTTGGAATAAAGTAATTTCTAAAGGTGATATTGGTGGTGGTTGCATGGGGTAAACTCGTGGGCAGGATGTTAGCAAATCTCTGTACTTCATGAATGACAGCATCCGTGTACGGCATTTGAGTTCGATGTGCAATCTGAGGCTGGGCGGATCCAACAACTTTGGCGATCTCATCACGGACTTTTTCTGGATAAAATGGAATGTAAGTGTTTACGGTGTGGGATAAGAGACTTTGTTGAACAGTCTTCTCCATTTTCAAAAAATGTGAAAGTAAAACCCAATGCTCCCTAACTCCTTGGCTTCCCTTTTCTCTGCACTACTTCCACCCCCAATGCTTCCCTTCCTACATCTCCTTCAGACCATCTCAGGAGGGTTGCTTAGAGAACAACATTGACTAACTTACGAAATCTAAAGATACAAACTATCCTCAAGAGTACAAATTGCAGATACCCTGTGCTCTGCAGGAGAAAGATTAGATTTATCTGTTTCCAGAAAGATGTATAGCCTCAGGAACCCTATCGGGCTGCTATGAATCGGGATCTATTTGATGGCAGTGGGCTTGAGTTTTTCTGGTTTGTTAGTTATGTAAGGGCCCCGGTGATGATGTTCGGTAGATATTGGATTACTTCCGTCAAGATCAGTGGTTCAAACTGATGAGCCACTACTGGAGAGGAGGCGTTCTGCTCTCCTAAAGATATACAGCCTCAGAAACTACAGGGACTGTTCTATGCCATCCTATCAGGCCTCTATAGATGAGAACTGACAATGGGAGTCAGTGATGAGTCAGAATCAACTCAGTGGCCATGGTGTGGGTTTGTGTTTGTTGAAGTTAATGTGAAAGACGAGACTCCATTCCTAGAATGACTTGGTCTTGGACATCCCACAGATTCTTCCCTATCCCACGGATTCACTATGAGCCAAAAAGCTACTGCACAGCAGTGGGTTTGGCTTTTGAGTGTAGTTATAGGACATACCTGGTGGCCCAAAGAGTTTACCCCTGACTTCTAGCCTAAAGCTTGGTGGCTTCAGCTCACCCAAGTGTACCTCGGAAGAAAGGTTGGGCAGTTGGCTCAGTCAAGTTTACAGTCCAGCAAACCTCATGGAGCAGTTCTACTCTGAAACCCCCCGGGTTGACTTAGTTGGAATGAACTCTATGGTAATGGGCTTGGCTTGTGTTTTTTTGGGTTTTTTTGGGCTTGTGTTTTTAGTGTGGTTATAGAATTGTGCTTTTCTCTGTCCAAGAGATTTACAATTTCTCTCCCACTGAGACAATGCTGTCAGTCTTAGGATACTTACTCTGAATTTCGGGGTACCGCATCATAAGTAGAATTCCCCAGCGCAGTGTGGTGGATGTGGTCTCCGTACCTGCTACAAACAAATTACTGACGAGTGCCACCAGATTCTCATCACTGAAATGCTCGGTGGATTTATCTTTCTCCTGAAAGAGGAAAGTGAACCATCATTGATGGAATAAATTCATGTCAAAGAACATTAGAAGTAACTTGAATTTAAAAAATTGAAATATTACATTGTGCATAGAATCCATTTTTTAGCATTATAAGAAGGTTATGGAGAATTTGAAAATGAAAATACATCCTGTGTTCTAATAATGGTGAATAATTGTAATACTGAGAATGACTATTTGCCACTTGAAAAAGATTTGATAATAATTTTTAAGTGAGTGATTTGATTGTCTCAATTCGGATACGTAAATGGTATTAAAAACATCTTTCCTAGGTTTGCCAAGGGTTTTAGGATGATCTAAAAGAACACTAATACATATCTTGAACTCTTTATATATCATGTTTTTCCAGAGGATGATAATAAAAGTGATGGAATGCAATTGATGTAAAACATAGAAATAACTCAACATTTTCAAAGTATACAGATTAAATCTCATTAATTGAATCCAGTTATCTTTCTTCTTTGAAAGGATCATTTTGTTCTGTTTTTTTCCTTGCAGTATTATTAAGTATATTAAGTAATAAGCACTAGTTTAAGGAAACTCCTAAAGAAAACAACCTTACCTCCTGTTGTTTGAGCAAAAAGACATCAATGAGACTTCTTGGATCATTTTTGTCAAGTTTATGTTGGTGATCTAGGAAAGTCATCCTTATAAAAGAAAACAATTCATCTCTGTTCCAGAGTACTGTCTTATAACTTTGTAGAAAGAACCCCAAAACTGGAAACATATTGAAAAGCTAAAAAATAAGTACATAAAAATAACAACAAAGTAAATTAAATATGCATACATACTGTGTATGATTAGGATGACGCCATTATCTCTGAAAAAATAAAACAAAAACCAAACTCACTGCCATCAATCAATTCCAACTCAATGACCCTAGAAGAGAGGATAGAACTGTTACTGTGGGTTTCCAAGACTCTCTGTGGGAAGAGAAAGCCTTGGCGTTCTCCTGCAGAGAGACTGGTTTTGAACTGTTGACTTTGAGGTTAGCAGCCCCATGTGTAGCCACTTTACAACCAGAGCTCCAGTTACTTCTGAAAGCATTATGGAAATTTCACATGGACTTGAACTACTTCAACTGACAATGATTGAGTGAATTATGCAATGAAGTTCTGTCATTTATCAGAGCAAAGTAACTTGAAGTAAATAATTTTATGGCTTACAATAAGTTCGATGTACTTAGAGCACCTTTGTATATTTAGCTTGTGACAGTAGAGTTACTTAGAGACAAGGCGGGCATAAGAATTCTAGTACTATTTCCTATAACTTCAAGTGTTTTGGAAAACCCCAGGTGATTCCTGGAAAGCAATTAGACTATTTAAAATTTTTTTATAAAAATAAGATTATCATTACATGTTTCACTTAGGATCAACATTTTAAATTCTTAACTGGACTTACTAGCTCTCAGCCTCATAGGGCGGTGTCACTTATGCTAATATTCACTCACTCCTCAAAGTCAAGAAATGCCTTACTGTTTGTTAAATTGTATGCATTTATTTGTATTTTCATTTATTATGGAGTCTGTATGTTTTTTCAGATCCTCAAAGGAATCTGACCTCTAAAGTGTTCATGACCCTCAAAATGACTTACTAAATGCCAAAGGTCGCTCCTAAAATTAGTCTTTGTATTTGAATATTACAGTATTCGCAAGCACCTACAGTTATCATTGTCCTGCATTTATATTAATCCATGTAGAATAACAGCCTAAATCACTCCAAAGTGGTATGGTTCTTTGCAAGTAGTGCTGATCAAAATCAGAACTACTTGGCAAGGTTTTTATTTCCTATACCTTAGAAGATAATGAATTCATCACTCAGATTTATAATAAAAATATTTGAATGAAAGCACTAATGTAATGTGCATGGGGAAGAATCAATATTGAGATTTTTTTTTTTTGGTTTTTTATATTTTGCACTCTTCCTTTTTAAAATTTACTTTCCTGAGTGATTTTTTAAAACTGAATTTCACTTATTCGTTCAATTGCTTATTGCAAATTCCATGCCTTCCTGGTGGTGTAGATAAAAGATGGGTGGTCATGAGAATTTCTAGCTATATAACAAATTCTTTATCAGTGTGACTCACAATACCAAAATATTTAAGAAATATTTCATACAGTATTTTGTGGTGGAGAATTTTTCAGATGTGATAAATAAGCACGTCAACATCTCTTTCCGCCTGTATGCTGTTTCAGAGGTTGTATAGTTTTGAAACGACTACTTTAAAAAAACTAAATAATTACTCATGGCCTTTTGAACTATTTCCCTTGACCCTCAGAGGAGCTAAAACGAGATAGGAAAGATACAGTTACCGTAATTCCAGGACCGCCGATGAGTTTCACATTTTCACCAATCAAGGTCAAGAGTCTCAAGAATTGGGTGTCTTGGTAGTCAAAACGTTTCCCAAGCAGCACAGACACGATGACATTAGCGACAGAAGCATTCAGTACTGTTTTGATCTCAAAAGGCTTTCCTAGAACATAGTTTATTAATCAAGTTAGAAATATTTACATAGAATTAAGTCTGCTCTATACTGATTGCCACAGACGGTAAAATAAAGGGTTTCATAGAAGAAAGTGATTACTGATGACTGTGCATTTCAAGGGTAGTGCAGTAGTTAGATGGTCTTATGTCAACTTGAAGAGATACAAAAGTGTCAGGGTGGAACCCATCCTGTCAATCAGGTCACAGCCTGATGATGCCTCTTTGGGGGTGTGGCTTTCAGATAACTGGAGCAAACTGGGAAAACCTCCCCCCCCCTCCCCCTTTGACTTCCTGCTTCCTGGGACTCTGCCACTGACCCTGAGACCTGCTGGTGCCCTGCCATGTTTCCACCAACCTTGGATCCACAGGACTCTGCCTGTAATCACAGGCCACCTAGTGTGCTATGTGAGTCTGAAGAGGGACTTATGGGCTAGTAGTGGACTTATAGACGTGAGTTGAAAGGGGCTGGGATGCTTTCTTGATACATAATTCCTACTTTAATAAAGCTCTTTCTTAAACATAAAAGAGTGGATTTGTTTCTTGGCCTAGCACAGATAGCAATATGTAAATAAGCCTTGAATAATACCGAGGGGGGAAAAAAGCATGCAGCACCACCAACAGTCCAGTTAAAACTAACCATAACCTCATGTGTTACATACTAGAACTGCTTCATAAGATCTTGCTTTTTGTTTTGGTTGTGATCTTTATGAAAATAGATACCCAGTCATTTCTTCCTTTGTACTCCTGGATCTTTTTGCACCATTGGCCTTTTGGTAAGGGGTTGTGCACAAACCATCTGTACTACCCAGCAACCTAGCTAAAGATTGCCATAAAGACAAGAAAGGGTTGTATTGCAAAGAAAGCCAGCACTTGGCTGAGTTAAAGACATTTTAAAAATGTGTGAGGTGGAGGGGATGTTTTATTTGTGTGTTTGTATAGTATATGGAAAAATAGCTTCTCAACTGGATAAGTTGTGTTCAAGTTTGAAAGAGGGCATCTAGATGATTCAAGTGGTTCTGTTTTAATGAACATCATCAAGTTTCTTCCTTATTTCAGGTTCTTCTGCTACTAAGTCCAATATTTCTCAGCATCGTTGAACACTTATTGGTGGGTGACTATTTACTTTTAAGTAAAGAATATGCAGTTGTTAGACTCTGTCTTTATATCAGTACCCATCTTAAAGGGGAGGCTGGGAACCAAATGGATTGGAACCCAAATGCCATGTTACTGTTCTTCATTCATCTCCAGTTTGTATACCGCAGATCATTTCTCTTCATATTAATTGCTCTATTGGGCAAAATGATGTTCAAAGGAGCTCATCTTTAAAAAGGAATGAGCTTAGCCTTATAAGGAAACAAGTGGAACAAGATCAAAATAAGATTTTGAATTTATTCATGTAGCATATTATAGGTAATGTGGAAATCAGTCCAAGTGTGTGGCTCAATGTCTTACTATCTCGTGAAATAGGATGCTATTAAATTTGATCATTGTGCAAACACCTTCTTGGAAACAGGCAGTCTGCATAGAATTCACAGTTAAATCTCCATAAAGTCTGTTATATTCAAAACCTCTGGAGATCTGCTAGACAAAGCTTGAGAGTTGTAGCCACTGGAAACAGAAGACCATCCTTGCAGGATGTGCTTGGCAGAGGTTATGCTGTCATTGGGATTGGGACCAAACCAGATTGGGACTTCACACACACCAGGTGCAGGATGAATTGTGTACATGAGAGGAGAGGGCTATGGGAGCAGAGAACACTGGTGTGCAGAGGATGGTGGGTGGAGGGAATTCGCCCTCTGGGAGTGGGGCTGTGGTGGCCTTAGCAGTTGCCAGCTTCTAGGACAGCTATTTCCTGATGACCTGCAGGCATGGCTGATGGCTCCGAGAACCACAAGCCTCTCAGCTCACCCCCCAGGCTGGACATTGTAGCCAGCTACTGTGGCAGAAATAGAGGAATCCAGGAAGGTCCTGCCTAGTATTGTGAGTGAAAGTCTGCTTGACTGCTGGTGAATGAGTGAAGCCAGGAGAAGGGGAAGGAGGAAGCAGCTCATTGATTGGGGAAGAGGGTATTTAAAACCATTCAAGGAAAGCAATAAAAAAAAGGACAGATGCCTTCCCTTAAAACAACAACTAACAGAAAAGTTTTATGGGACCACAGATATACATGCTGTAGTAGTTTCATACTCTGGAGACAATTTGAGGATTCAGAATGAAGGGGTGGAGTCCAGCTTGTCAATCAGGTAGTCACTTGATGACCTCATTTGGAGGTGCTAAGGAGATAAATAGCTCGTTGGACACGTGCACATTCTCTGCGAGACCTACCTGTCATGCTAGTGTACTGAGCCAGAGGAGCCACACAGAGACCCCTGTCAGTGCTGAGATGCTTACAACACCACTGGATCCACAGGACTTCCACCCACTGTCCTGTGATCTTCCTGCATTCGCCATCATTGCATGTGTTGTGTGAGTCTGAAGAGGACTGTATAGATTGGTATCAGACATATGGGCTAATATTGGACTGATGGACTTGATCTGGACTGGGTTGGGACATTTTCTCAATATTCAATTGTTCATATATATTTATATATAAATGAGTGTAAACACATATGAGCCTCCCTGGATTTGTTTCTCAAGTCTACCCAGACTAACACACATGCAGTCAGTTTATGCCTCAATGGACATAAAACAACATATACTTGTACGTATTGTTTCAAGAAATTAAAAAATGCTATTAGCAAGGAATTATCAATTAAAGGAGATAAACTGGCATGACAGCAGTGTGCAACAATCTTATGCCATAAGGATGGATGGATATACATATCTTCCTTATATACATATATCTACTATAATTATAATCGTGAGTGTGTATACACACAGAGAGCGAGAGACAGAGAGACAGACAGAGAGGTAGAGAGGATCTGATAACCTTAAAAAGTCAAAATCAAGCAAGTATTAAATGTTGATATTCCAAAATAAAGAATTGAAAACAAACCTTTATTTGGCTTCTTTTTTTACATTAGTCCGCTTACCTTTCTGTGACTTGAAGTTCTGTATGAGATGCTGACATTCCTCTATAATTTTTTCCTCTATGACCCTCTTACCCATTCCAAAGTTCCTTAAAGTGGTCAAGCTGAATCTCCTCATATTTTTCCAGTTTTCACCATGAGAGAAAGTAATTCCTTGTAATATAAAAAATGCTTAATCTAACAATCATTTTTGAGTACACTGTGCTAAAACCAAACCCCCCGCCATTGCGTGAATTGTGACAAATATTGATGTTATGTAGGATTTTTGAGACTATAAACCATTATGGGTGCAGAGAGCTTCATTTTTCTGTCAGCTGATAGACTTGAACAGCTGACCTTGCTCGTAGCAGCCCATTATCTATCCCAATGGGCCGCCAATATAGTTAAAGAATTTCTGAACAGGTTTTCCCTTTTGTAAGGGAAAATTCAACTTCCTTACACACAAGACCCAGGTGAAAAATAAAGGAGACATGAGAAAGAAATCATTACAAATGAGTCTACTCCGGTGTCCACCCTAGTGCTGTAAGAATTCATTTCCAGAAAAGTATTGGTTGTTTCACCAGGCAAGTGCTCCATAAATATGAGGGTAAGTAAAAAGCACTGTTACAAGATCATAAAAACCTTGGTTAAACAAGAATATCAAAGTGCTCAGCTATTGTTTCTCAGCATTTCCTTCATCCATGTCCAGATACTTCTTTCAGTGGTATTTCCATATCTACACCCCTTCCCAAAAGGGTTCTGTTCTATGAGTTTGGGGAGTAAAAGACGTCTGAAAGGGTACAATCCGGGCTGTATGGTGCATGGGATAAGATTTCCAATAAAAGTCTTACAGGACAATCCCTGTTTGTGAAGGGTGAGCAAGTGCAATGGGGTGAAGGTTTAAAAGAAAATCCCTTGGCACAACTTCCAGGTCTTTTTCTCGCCAAGGAAGTTTTTCCTTTCAAAAAATTATTTCTAATAACCCCCATAATCATTTTATGTTTTTAAAGAAAGTCTATCAAGTGTTTCCTTTTAAGATTCTTAAAAACAGTTGGCATAATAATCTTCTGGGCGGACCTCTCTATCTTGAATTTACCTGACCCGGCAGACGCCCTGGGAAACCCCGTTTTGAATGCCCCTTTTCTTTAAAACCTTGCAAGTAGACTAACATAGGAGTCCTAGTGGCAGTCATTGGACTGCTAACTGTAAGGTCAGAGGTTTGGAAGAGGGACGGGGTGGACTATGCCCGTAAAGAGTCACTAAGACATGTGTATTGCAGAGAGAAGTCGTCTGCAGGGTCCATTCACACAGAGCTAAGTTTGGTTTTGAAAAAGCCTGTGCATGTATGAGTTGGTCCCCGGGTAGCAACACTTTTTGACTCACGTTCGTATGTATTCAATGAATTAATATGCGAATTTGTAAATGGCTGAAACACCAAAAACCTTAGGGTGGGATATATTGATCAGTCAAGGGGAATTTCCTTAGAAAAATAAGTGAAGGCAAAGTTGCCAAGGTCAGCCACATTGTGCATTTGTGGTGAGAATGAAGTTAATCTTTGTGTTTCTGTCCCTCCAATCACATTTCTCTTTTTCTCCACCGAGGCACAAGGCACAGGGCAGGAATATCTGAGTCTGATTTATAACCAGAAACAGGAAACTAGAAAAGACCAGGGTATTAGAAATGGGGTAGTAGCTGGCTTGTTAGTCTCTCTGTAAAGTCCACAAGGAAGGGCTTGAGCCTTGCAGAGTTGCTGCTATTACCTCAGACCAGGTTTCTGGTGAGCTAATTTCTGGTCTCCTCAAATTTCTGGTTCTTCAAAGTATGTCATCTTTATCTTTAAAAATTTTGTATTTTATCATTCCAGTATTAGTGTACAAGGACCTGTAGATGTTACTAAGTTTTTTAAAGAGCAGTGAGTCCTCATGGAATTTTGAAAAACATTGGTTCAGCATTATGAAGAGCTGGACTTAATTTACTCTTACTAAGGTGACATAACTAACACTACTAAACAGTTTTGTGCATAACCAAACCCTTGATGTTTTTTTACTTTGCAGAATTTGTCTGGAGTACGGAATGAAGTGGTTATGGAGTGCTTAAAGTGCTCCACTACGAACTGAAAGGTGTGGCTAGGACACATCAGCTTCTCTGTAGAAGGAAGCTGTGTCACTGTTTCCGTCAAGATTTACAACACAGGAAACCTCCTGGGTCATTCGACTCTGTTCTCTATGGTGCTATGAGTCAGAATCAACCTGACAGCAGTGAGTTTTGTTTTGGGTTTGAAAATGTTCAACTTATTTTTTTAAAGTACATGATTTCTCAGATGAATAATTTGTGTACAGTTTTATAAAGCCTGGTGAAATAAATATTAAAACAATCTGTGCAGAAGCATAAACTTAGTCAGTAATATCTGAGTTATCATGGAAACTAGCAGATATGCCAGAGCCAGGAGATAAGAATGTGTCCCAGTTCTAGAAGGTGGGATGGGAGTTGGAGGGATGAATACGGAAAACTACAAAACAGGGATCTTGAACAAGCTGTTGTTCCTCACTGCTGACATCAGGAGTTGTTATGGGATTGGCAAGAGAAAAAACTATCCCAAGGACAAATAAGTGGAGAAAAATTGACTGAGTAAAATTATACAGGTTTTTCCTTAGAGGCTTTAATATATGCATGTGCACTATGCGTCTAAGGAAATAAAACATCAAACTAACTACCATTAAGTTGATTCTAACTTACATTGAACCTAGAGGAAGAGAACTGCCCTTTGGCTTTCCAAGGCTATAAATCTTGATGGGAACAGAAAGCTTCATCTTTCTCCGAGGAGCACCTGTTGGGTTTGAACTGAGGACCTCATGGTTAGCAGCCTAATGTGTAATCCATTACGCCACCCGTGCGCCTCTCCATCTAAAGAAAGGCCTGCTGACAACATAAAGTATCCCTCAAACTCACTTCACTGCCACTGCTTTTTTCTCACAGAGTATCTGTCCAATTAGTCTTTTCTGAGGATGATAGGGTGGGGAGAGCTTTTTCACTAAGGTTGTTGTAGCAACATAAAACTATAGGGAGGTTAATAAAGTCAATATTAGTTTACTAAAAAATAATTAATGACTGAAATACTTCCCATTTTTTAAAAAGTTATCAGATTAGTGAAATGCCATCAACTAAGAGTATCTGGATTTCATCAAGGCCTTTAGCAAAGACTCATCTGAACCGATGCATCCATTTTGTCCAAGTGAAAACATGGCTCAGTGTCTACAGGACCCGCAGTGCATTGTTTCATGAATCTATGTCTACTGTCAGTCTGGAAGCTCTTTAAGCCAGGGCCCTCTCTCTTCTTTGTTTTTGTATTTTCTGCTATCTAACATCATACTTTCACCTAGTAAAATGCATATCGTATTTTTAGATAAAAAATTACTTTTCATGTATGATGAGAATAAAATCTGAAAAGGACATATTTTCTCCTAAGTAGCTTTGTTTCATTGAGTTAATCATCAAATTGAAAACTACCTGTGCACTACACATAGTGGGAAAAAAATAAAGCACAAATGTGATTACATGATTAAATACTTTTAATCAAGTGATATATTTTAAGTTTAGGGTTTCTTACCTCTTCCTTCAAAGAGTCTTTCAAATATAGGCACTTGAGACCGTTCCCCAAACTGATCACCATGATTAACCAGGGCATCTTTCACTGTCTCATAGCCAGAGAGCACCACTGCCTTCCTTGGACCCATCTGAATGCTGTAAATGGAGCCATATTTCTGGGAGAGCTTAAATACATTATAAGGAGAGAAGCAAACATTATATTGCAGTAAAAAGGCAATCAGATCTTGATATTTGGCAATTCAATTTATCCCAACAAACACAACAGTTGTATGACCTGGGACATAAGAATATTAGATAGATTCACTAATATTCCTGTGGTTTCTCCCCCTGGTGGGCCCATGCTTCTGGTCACCAAGACTTGCGCTGATGCTTCATTTTATTTGAGGTTTTATTGAAGATGTGCTCTGACATTTATGGAATCAATACATAACTTCTCCTTGCTACACTTTTGTTTGGTCTCAGAAAATGCTCAGTCAGCCTTTTAAGGTCAGAATACGTTCCTGATGACTATGAACATCTGACCACATTAGTCCCCCACACTCACACCATATTCTTTCTGGGGGCAATGGTGCAGAGTAAACCCAGGTTACTCTTGGGTTAATCTGTTATATTTCTTAATAATAATAAGATTTTTAAGGCATAAAATATAACAAAGTCAACATCCATTATCTATTTGTATTCTACATATCCTTCAATGCACATAATAAATAACATGCTGGCTTTACGTAGTAAGAAGTGATCATTAGCAAGGGGTTCACATTCAGACGGGCTGCCTGCACCACCTGTGGTATGAACCTGCCTGAAAGTCAAAGATAGAGTCAGAGGGTGAGTTCTGATGTGTGTTTCTTTCAGAAATTTGACCTTAGAAAACATCAGTAGACTTAAGGAAGGAATTACAAAAGGTCTTCATGATTTAGGAAGATAATGCAACTATGATTGGAATTATAGGTCAGTGAAAATTAAGATGTGAACTTGAAGTTGTGCGCACCCAGACTCTCAGGTGACAGTCACTGCATACAAGGGTGGTCATAATGGTAATATTTATAATGGTAATGATAATAATAAATGTCAAGCAAAGAAAAAATTAAAAATTAATGTAGAGGTAAATGTCTAGATAAATGGCTGACAGAGATCGGGGAAAAGAGTACATATTTTGCAGGTGGAATTAGAACAGAACAAGGACATGGAGGTGAGAGGAGAACGGATGAAGGAGTAACGAGGGCAGTCTGGAGAGACTGGGAACAAGCAGAGTGCTATGGAAACAAGGAACTGTCGGGGCCCATGGAATTAGATGAAGGACCTTAAGAGGGAGAGAGAGAGAGAGAGAGAGGACCTCATAATGGCCCACCAAGCCCCCAGGGACGCCATCCCTGCTCAGAGCAGCAATGCTCAGAAGACCATAAGGCCTTCCCCACTAGGAGACATGACATTCCCTCACTGACCCAAAGCGCTACAGGGGACAGCACTGGAGACACTGTACGGAAAGTGTGCCCAGAGTGGGGTGAAATGCAAAGGGAGTGCAACAGGGCAGCAAGGGGAGCAAAGTAACCAAACCCCGAGGAATCCTGAAAATTGACTTCTGACTCCAGAATCAGGGTCTGGCACCTCATCAGCTTTGATCAGAAAACATACGCAGACAGAAAGAAAAAGGGGGAGTGGGGAGCAAGACTATTTTGTCCTTTTGAGAAATTGACTCATCCTATGATTTTAGATGTAACAGGAATAGTATACTATTCTGATTCAAACTGTATCAGAGCATTCTAGTACTGAATCTCTAGTTACAAATAAGTCACTTAATTACTTAGCTATAAAATGGTGACACCAATATTATCCATATTTACCTCCTACCAGGGTTACTATGAGTCATGATACTCAGTGACAGCAGGTTTTGTTTAGTGATGGTTGGGAAAGAAAGCCATTGGGGCACAGTGCATTAAGTGTTGGACTACTAGCCCAAAGGAACTTGCTAGCCTTTCTGGGTGTAAGATGTAACAGTAAGAGAACAAGGCTGCTCTGACTTACAGGACAGCTATGAATCTGGATCTAAAACGGTGGTGGCGGTGGTGGCGGTGGTGTGTGTGTTTGTGATAGCAGATAAAAGATGCTATTCAACCTCTTTTAAGTTTTGGATTTTTCTTTTTAAAATAAGGAAAGTAACACACAGCTCCTTTTAAAATACGAATTTCAATACAAATGTGATATACTATTATTATTTGCTGCTCACGAAGGTAAACATTTTTCTCTATACTGGGGATTTTTTAACAGAGATGCTATGAGATAAAGTGGATTTCAACTTCAACAATTTATCCCATAGAACTTAAATACAGAAATGTATAGCCAAACCCCATAAATTTCCTCCTCTGGAAATCTAAGTCTATCTATCTATCTATCTATCTATCTATCTATCTATCTATCTATCTATCTATCTATCTATCTATCTATCTATCTATCATCTATCTATCTATCA